TTGTAATTACTGCAAAACGCCGTACTCAGATTGTAAATATTGTGGGTGTATTATCCAACACACTGGTGCGGTGTACTTGTAACGAATTGGCACGTTCTGTTTACGTTACTAATTGGCTGTGTCGGGTGGTGGCAGATTTAACGACACAATTATATTCACGTGATCTAACTCCAACAAAAAAAAAACTACATTATGGATGATGGTGACTTTTGTGTGCTAAGCACTAACTTTAAGCCGAGACAATCCAGGTTCGGCCATCAACTGTTGAGCGTCACGAAGCGGAATCAAATCTGAGTCATTGGAACGATGGTTCAGTTCGTTAACTCCTACCCAACCACCCCCACAAGTGTTACATGGATACATGCTGCACATAGATGCCTACATGTAATGCACAACATGCCTTGCCGATGTCGACCCACTGCTGGATAAAGACACCCCCTACCTCCGCCTGGCCTTGTGCCACGTCGGCCATGGGCATTGCTTGACCGCACTTCACCACACTGGGCAGTGTGGGTTGGTGAAGGAGGAGAAGGGTGCCCAGGACCAGTCAAGGTATGGCTCGCCACAGACGCTGGTGATTCGCCACGGCCGGGAACCAAACTCTTGTCACTGGGTTCACAGTGCAGTGTACGAACCACTGCTCCCCCAAAGACAAAGATCCCCCTTGTAGCCTCAACAGACTGCCGGGGCAAGCGCCGGTAGCGAGCACCTATGAAAGCACGCGAGGGGGTCCGGGTGGCCGGCACAACGCCCGACCGCCTTTGTCTCCCTCGTGGCAGAGTCTTCACACCACACCAGGTACTCGTTTGAACGCTCGAGGAGGCCCGGGACTGGTTCGGATAATCGACGCCACGCGTAAACCCACACCCGTGCGTGTACAGCTAACTCGTGTGACACTTCTGAGAAACAGCAACCCCCCCTCCTCTCTCGTCTCCCACATTCCCTCTCTGCCTTACAGCTACGTCACTGCACGTGTGTGCCTTTCCGGGGGGGCTGTTTGGATAATTTCGCCTCAGCCACACATCCATGTGAATGGGGTGGGATGGTGCGGGGGGGGGGGGGGGGATGAAATTGAATTATGGCGGGATCCCTCTCGCCCGCTTGTTTTGATAACGGGAGGCTCTACATTAATATGCGGCTATTAAATAAATCCGTGCGCTCCGAGGAGCCTCTGCAGAATGATGGGCGCATAAACAGCCTCATTATGTGCTTGCCCAGAATTGTCCAAAAAGCCTCTTCTTGATTTATCGAGAGTTTGGTCCCTACCAGTGGGCAATAATGCGGCGGACGCTCCTTCATAAGTGCTTTCTCATTACCGCTCAGCGACGGGGCCCTTTGTCCTCCTTCTGTGTCTCATTACCTTGCGCTGTTTATCGCGCGAAACACCCCGCCGCGGGGGGCAGCGTCGCGGCCGGGGGGGACCCCGGAGCGGTCGTGCCGAGGCTCTGGGGCACCCCACGGCAGCGGCAGCAGCGGCCTACAAATAATTTGCACGTTCCAAGTTGACTCACTCGGGTTTGACGCGCGCATTTGACGGGACCCCCCCCCCCCCCCCGGAAGTCTGCGCGCGAGTCGACGAGACGCCGCCGCCGCCGCCGCTGCCGCTGCTGTACATCTGCGAAAAAAAGAGCTTTGTAGCTCATCAGATTCCTCCGGTAGAAAAAAAATATTCTGATTCTCTCCGCGGCTTTGAGTCGATCTCTGCGCCGCGGCTAAACGGCTCGTCGGGTGAGGCTCGACGGAGACGATCGGTGCATGCGGCACCACAGAACCCAATAGAGATGAATGGAGATTAGCAGGCAGCGGGCATGTGGTTTCGCGCAACCCAATGGAGATAAATGGAGTGGAAGAGACAATGGTGACTGTGTAGGAATTGAAGTGAAATTAACATCAGTACAGGCAAGTGCCACAGAACTCAATGGAGACAAACATCAGTACATGCGGCCTGCAAGAAATCAATTGAGATGAATAATCAGTCTGTGTAGCTGCGTTGTATTGAGTGGTAGATAATCAGTGCCTATGGGTCTATAGAATTCAAATGAGACTAATAATCAGAGGACATGTCCCCATAGAAATAAATGTAGCTAATCAGTCCATGTAGCTGAATATAATTCAATAGGAATTAACAAATGGTAAATGCGATCTTTTGGAGTTGAATGCGGATAATTAACGACACGCATGGCAAAGTTTATTCGCCATTTGTGAATGCAGACAATTAGTGAAAGTAGCTGGATAGAACTCCACTGAGCTTGATAATCAGTTGCATGTAGCTCGAAATAACCCATTGGCTCGAAGCTGGTCAGCAGCCTTAACTACTGTGGAACACAGGAGGTAACTCAGTCAATTAAAAACTGTCCTGCCACATACTAAACACAACATCAAACAACTACAGCACGGGAGGCGTCGCTTCTCAAGTCTGTTGCTGTGAACATCGGCGCGAAAGATAGCAGCGCACCCCCTTTGTTTTCAACACGCTGCCCTCTTTTCGACGCTTGTTTGTTGTGGATTCGTATATTCCAGCGCACTTGGCTTGCAATCCAGAGGTCGCCTGCTTCGATCTCCAGGCACGGCGGTTGAGACGATGGTGCAAGTTTCTTAAATCCCCCGCGCTCAGCGCACCATACCTCTGTACCAGCCAGCAGTGCAAATGGGTTCAGCCGCAGCCTATGATCGGCGGGTCACGTGGGTGTGGGGTCAAGTGTGGGGACTCCCACGTCTTTCATGAACATCTGGACAGCGTGGAAGAGTCGGATGAAGTTACCTTGAGAGAGGCTCTCTAGAGAGCTCGCCCCAGTGGAGGCCCTTCCACCAGCTGGTGAAGTAAGCGAGGAATTTCAGGGCTGGACCTTTACCTTTGACGCCGTGTGTATGTGTGTGTGAGCAGCTTCTGACAACAGTGGACACGACTCGGGTTTTAGATATGGGCCCAAATATGGGTCACAATGTTTGTACCATTTTCTATTCGAGATAAGATAAGGCAGGGGCATATTCAAGATTTCTTTGCATGGAAAACATAACATTTGGTGGGGATCGCGTCCATGTACTGCGCATGCCGGAGACAATACGGTTAGAAATTTGTGGAGCATATATGATATATATAAAATACGAAATAATAACAATATTATTTTTTCCACCAAGCCCCTGACTTTTGATCGAGGTTTTGATGCTGGTGTGCGTTTTGGGAATTGACTTATTAAAGTTATGTTCGGCATTGCTGCTCGGCTATTGCGACGCTTGTATTACATTTTGTGCAAAAAATAATAAACAGGGATGACTTTGGAAATTCTGTGCACCTGTGGAGCTGTCTTAAATCTAAAAAAGCAGATCACCCGACAGGCAAACAGAGCACCAGACACAGCGAGGAGCAGACACTGGGCCTGCTGACTTAAACAAACGAAATGTCCTAAAGGATACGACAAAGAATGAATTGATTCATTCACATATTGAGGGGTGCTGATAAGGAAGTTTCGGGCCAGGTGGGTTATCTGCCCCGCGCACATCCATAAAGAGGCAATGACTCTCAATGGTGGGCAGCGAAGCCTTTAACCGGCATTCTGAACCAGACCCATTTGTATTTGTGCGTTGAACACGTGACAGCGCAAACAACGCCCGCCGTTCGTGCACAGTGACATCGGAAGTCGCCGCAGTGTCCGCACCGGACTAGGTACACCGTGCTGCTACGTAGAGAAATGCAGGCTCGGCCGATAGGCAGTCATGGGTTAACCGAGTGGAAGCAGTGGCAGACGCGCCACAGGCACTCTCCCCACTGTGGCAACTCGCTGTGTCTAATCCGCCTGGAGCGCCGCTCCTTTGCTTCTCTCTGTTGTTGGGGAGTTGGCTACTGTCAACTGCCCAGCAGCCACATTTACACGATCTTTGTACGCAGAAGCCAAGCTCAACACCAGCGGCACCAGGAATCACCAAGTTCACTTTAGCTCCAAGTCCTCCTGTACTGCATCAATCCATGCTGTGCCCGTTCAACCAACTCTGCCCGGCTAAAATGTAGCCGCTTGCGTAAGCAGTGGCTGGCCAGGAGACCCAGCTAAGGCATTCTTTCACCTGCCAAAGGAGCCCACGGATGGGAATTTGTCTGGATATTTCATGATATTTCAACACTTCTCCTAACGCTGTCCAAATTTGAACAGCCCAGGATGGATATCACGGGCAAACCAATCTCAAATCAACGCTGGTGTTCCTATCAAAGGGACCACATTTCACAAGCACAGGGAAGAGAAAGTGATAATGTTCATGGCTGAGAATGACCTGGCGTTCGTTTCATGCAACATTACAGTCAATGGAGTCATATTAGCAAATCATAGCAAGACCTCTGCTTGTGGGCACACTGCCCAGGATATGGGAACTCCACATTGACAAATATCTCCCCCTAATAGACATAACAGACTGTTGTGACAAGTCCTGTTAGGGAGCACCTATGAAGGCCAGGTAAGAGCACAACAGTGGGCGGTGTGGCCCGTAGGTATGCAGTTCGTCCTGGATGTTGAACTTCTTTCACGCCGTACGTAGCCGTACATGCTCATCAGAGGTGTGGCTGGCCGCCTCCATCGCGCTGACGTTTTTAATGGCGCACCAGGTACTCATTTAGAATGCTGAGTCGATCTAGAGGAGGCCCAAGACAGGTTCTGATATTCACCACTGGTGTGGTGATCCTGTCATGCGATGCTCTCCGAACTTCGCAAAGACAAATGTCCCGTACAGCTGTAACATACTTTTGGGGCGAGTGCTGTTTGGGAGCACCTATTAAGGCCAGAACGGCACACGAAGTGGTGGGTGGCCGGCACCATGCCCGAATGCCTTTGTCTCCCTAGTGACGATGTTTACACACCGCACCAGGTATTAATGTGAGGCTGAGTCGACCTAGGGCAGGCCCAGGACCGGTTCGTAGCGGGGCACACTAACCACCGTGCCACCACTCCCCATACAACTCCACACACATAGACAATCACGTGCACAGACACAAACGCACAAATACACGCGCGCACCTGTTGTTGCTGCAGGTGCAGTAGTTCGGCTGCGGTGAGATCAAGGGCGGACGCCGCTTCCCCGTTTATCCGGCTCTTGCACACGGAGTCTGGCTGCCCGCTGGCCCCTCCGTTGGCTCCCACTGGACTTGAGAGCACATTGCTTGCAGTCTCGACCCCACTGTCCTGCATCGTGGCGTTTAATCTGTGTCGGAACAAAAGCGGTGTGCTCAGAGAGGATACATTTGCTCGCCGATGACTCACGCGAGCGCTAATTAAGGCATCCGAATGCTAATTGATCTCCAGCAATGAGCCACCTTTCGCTGGCAAACAATCGCCCGTGCCATTGTGTTTGGGGGAAGACATTTTTTTCCTTTCTCGTGGAATGTATTTCTCACATCTGTGAGCGGCAACATGGGAATATGTTTTTTGCATTTCTTAGATGCCGGTGCTTGGTCTGATCGTATTTGCTTACAGTGTGTAAACAAGAGCTGGTGGTAAATGTTTAAAAGGCATATCGGAGAACCATCGTCAGGACTTATCGCGATGGTGATTGTTGGCTTCAATCTCGAGACCGCATTTATTTAATTCTCGCAATAATGGCCTTGCAAAAAATGTGAACGGGAGGCTTCAATTGCCAGTGGTCGTTCATCAGAGATTATTAAAAATGCCATGATTAAATTAATCAGGTTTCTGTCAAAAATCACACTCTGCTCACCGATGGAAAAAAAAAGGGCTAGGATATTATGCAGTAAATTTGATTCGCAAGACATCTTGAAGGTCACTTAGTTTAACCTCTTGATGTGCAGCGACGCGCTTGGCGCGATGATATCATGACAGAGTGGTCACAATTCGCGAGCGTTTCGCCATCGTTGTCTTTGCCGCATCTGCTGTCATGCCACGGCGCGTTACGCCTCGAAGTCAAAGCTTATCAACTGTGTAAGCGAGCCTTTGTTCCGTTGTCGCCGACGACGCAAATCACCTTCACGAGCGCGGCCGCGTTGGAAACGTGAAAACTTGTCGTCGAGACGGAGGGGGTTAAAGGTATTCATGGAAATTATGATGATCATTACACAGCAAACTCCTACATCATCTGCTATGCTGATAAAGACAGCAGACAGCGGAAAGCACTTAGCCAGCACACATTGGTACGTACACACACGTGCACGCGGCGGCAATCCAACATCTTTACACGATGAATATTCAATATAAAACCATTTCCAAGCAGAGCAATTATGGTGCATTATCCAGGATGACTCAAATTAACACTCAATTAATTTTCTAATAACCAAACAAATGAAAACTATAAATCTCAGCCTTCCATTAATTTCACCATTATTTAGTGCCGCAATATCCACAGAAAATATGAAAATAATATTCGTCATGAATATCACCGAGGTCTATGCTAAAACAGCATAAATTATGCATATGGACCATCTTTAAAATCATGAATGTTTCATCATTTTTACTGCTGAGGGAAAAGGAGTGAGATGCATTTCTTAAATCTCAGAGGAACAACCACAATTTAAAAATTCTCATTGACAGCGCGGGGCACACCGTACACATCTTACGGTAAGTAAAATGTGGGAGGCGGGAAAAGAAGAGAAGGATTATTTTAGCCTAATGTCTGTCTGAATGAGTTTCCAGGATTGCAATCAAGAAATAATTTAATAGAGCGACTGATTTTATTTTTTGGTCATGTCAATTTTTGGAAATCAATAAAACAAACACAATATGCTCTTCAATTTATAAGCGTCAAGTTCTGAAATGGATATATCATAGCTCCAAATGTGCGATATATTGTGCGGTGCGTTTCTGTACATTTTGACTCTTGATATTTAAACGATGATCGTTGTAGAACTTCTTTACGTTCCACAATTTCCTTGAAATAAATCGTACATTATGACATTTAACGGGCACTGCCCCGTCGTCTCGTGATGAGCATTTTTCGCCAAAATAACAAAGGCTGCGACGTGTCTAAAAGAAAAGCAAGCTCTCTCATGGATTTTTTTACACAGATCTTCATCAATCCACTGCTGGATGACGGCCTCCCCTATGCCTTTCAATTGCAGGGGGGTGGAAGACGGGGGGATTGGGTCGTAGGTCACCACGCTGGCCATTGCAGGTTGGTGGATTGGGGTGAACGAGGCCCAGGACCGGTTCAAATAATAATCACTCGCCACTGCTGGCAGCCGTAGCTGGCAATTAAACGTAAGTCGCCTGGCGCACTGTTCAGCAGCAGCAGCACAAGAGCAGCAACGCCACCTCTACCAGATGATTACGTCTCATTTTTTAACAAAAAAGTCTCTATTGGTTATCCGTTGCTTCAAAAATGAATACGGTAAATCACGAAACTGTGACTCACATTTTCGGCTGATTCCTCACCGCTTAAGTTTTTTTTTGTTTTGCTACAGCGGCTTGAGGTGATATCATTGACCACCGATGTCAGGAACAAGGAGCGATATCGCCAAAACGCTCCTCACTGGAGTGACGCAGCCCAGCCACGCCCACTGCGCCACTACTGGACCCCCCCTTCGTCAGACGTAGAACTCAACATGAGGAAAATAATCAAATACCTTCCCTTTGAATTAAAACTAAAAGTCTCCTAGCAGTGATTGGCAGCGGTGCATTATTTGTGCACAAGCAACACATTTGTCAATGCCGATTCCCTGAATGTAAAACAATAGATCACAGGCGACATTTTGGATGAGGGGCATTGCCCGATATATTTTTACTTTTAGGGTTAGTCTTATTGACCTCCGTTTTATGTTATATATGTTTTCATTAGAATCGCAATCAAACACTTTCTCCAAAAATATCCCAGCATGTGCACACAAAAACTGTGTTTTTTTTTAAATAAACAACTAATACAACAAAATAAATAAACACATTACGCTAACCTCCCACATTAAAGTGTAAAGAATACTTAGCATCTAAACGGCAAAACTACACGAATAAAGTTGCACAGTAATGAGGAACTGCATATATTACTCAAACACGACAAACAGCTTGACACAACGGCTATACTTTATCTAGGTCTCAAAATGAGAAATTGACACAACATCCCAACTTCAATTTAATTTCTATATTCTGCAATAAGTTAAAATATATGTTCACAATATGAATCCATAAGATAATAATGCACACAAATAATGAAACATTTACATATATACACACACACACACATTGTTTTTTAATATATAAATATATAAACGCAAAATGTTAACCCACGAGAGAACAACCATCATCAGTGACTTAAATGTGCTTAGTCAGTAAAAATGTCGAGATTTGAAACTAAATATTTTCCCAATTTAAAGCGGGGTGGCTGATCAAAGTGCCTCCACTGGCTTATTAACACGCGGCTTTCAAGGGCTCATCAACAAGCAAGCAGGCCCTCTCTGAATTATGGGCCAAATGAGAGAGACGAGGCCCCGCCTCCTCCTACTTTGTCAGCTCAGCTCAAGAGTGTGGCCAGGCAGAGGCCGCGTGATCGCGTGCGCCCGTGACTTCTCTACCTGCAGACAAAGCCACTTCGGCACCACCAACAACAACAGCGAACAAAAACGGCGATTTGATCACGTGTGCGGTGGTGGCGGCGTGGGGGAGACAAAGGTGGCTGGGCGTGGTGTAGGTCACCCACCCCATCGTGTGCCGTGCCGGCCTTCATGTGTGTTCACGAATAACACCTGGCCCCAACAGTCTATTAAGGCTCTACGAGGGGGAGTGGCGTGGTGCTGGCCACCCACACCCTCGTGACGTCGTGCCAGCTTTCATAAGGTGCTACTCGCTAACAGCACTTGCCCCAACAGTCTATTAAGGCTACACCGGGGATCTTTGTCGTTAGTGGCGGTGGTGATGAGGATGAATGTTTAGAGGTGAGAAAGTTGCAGCCTTGCGATTTCTTGCGAGCAACACTGCCGGATTGTTTATTGTTTATTGAGTTTGTGAGCTGAGCTGGGCCAGGATTGAGCAAGGACAGAGGCCACTTTTCACCCAGGCAACCGGAGAGCACAGATAGTTTTTGACGTATCGCCACAACAACAATTACATATATATATTTTTAAATGCACAATTTATACAATAAATAACAGATATACAATTAAGGAGGATAATTAAAACACGTTTTGTTTACTTAAAATCTGGTGGGAGGAGCCTCCACTACATGGAACTCTAGAGAGTCACTTGCTAGAGGATATTTGGACTAATTTCTGTTTCGGGAGAGGCAGGATTACCAAACGGGCGTACGATTCGGTGCGGAAAACCCGCGTGGCTAAGCAGTCTCGCGCTGAAATGCAGATGTCTGCGCTTTGCGCTAATAACGTGGCGGGGCGCGTTCTATTGTTTCCACGACAGAAAAGGGAAATGACTGTGCATCCTGGAGTTACGGCAATACCTGAGGTCAAGATCAAGGTCAAGAGGTCGGCGCGTCCAATGTTACGCCATCTTGCCAATGGCTCTGTCCTTCTGTTTAACAGTCCCCTCGGCAATTGTACGGTCGACACGCGACTTCCTGGACCTTTCCTTGCAGTTGTCATCATCATCATCACCAACACTGCCGCCTCCCCTTGGTCACCAACCTCGGGGTGCCATCCGCAGCGCCGATCTTTGTCGCCCGACCTCCTCCATCCGGCGCGCATGCCAGCGCCCACCGTCACAACCTCGTCTTCCTCACAGCTGCACACCCACGCCTACCTTCTCAGCCCACGGGCGATTCTGAACCCACCGATTTGCTTACACTATCATTGCCATGCAGTCCTAAGTGGCCTCCATATCTCACCATCATTCCGCCCCATTCCACCCCCCCCGCCCCTGCCTCTATGCAAAGGTCAGAATCGTCGTTTCTGGATGTTTTCCTAAAGTCCAGCTCTCTGGCACGCGTTAGGGGGGGAGCTTGAGCAAACATGTTAATGCTGCGGATTGGGAAGCCAGAGGGAACCCAGAGAAGCAGCAGGAGAACGTTGAGTCAGGGCATAAATTCATAATCACGATCCAGGCGGATAAAACAGCGCATGGCCTTCGCACCAGGTAAGGTCAGTGTGCACGCTTCGGAAGTTTTCCTTTTATTTGCAAATGATTTAGCGATTTTTTTTTTTTTGGCCAGAAGTGTGAACGCATTAGATTAAGGGCAAATCAAATTCTATGAAACTTGCAGAATATACATTATGAAGGTGAGTAGGGTGAAAACCTACAGTACTGTCAATAAGG